AGCCCAGGAGTTGGAGGTTGCTGTGAGCGTGATGCCACGGCACTCTACCCAGGGGGGATAGCTTGAGGCTCCGTCTCAAAAAAAAAAAAAAAAAAGTTGAGAAGTAATTTGGTCTCTAAACATTTATTATATAATGAATAAATATGGTTGTCAGAATTCTGACTCTCTGTCCACATTAGATTCCTCATAAATCTAACAGCACCATGAAAACATGGAACTGATGTCTACATTTTTATTGTTGTCGCTACAAGTTCTATTTATCTCTAATGGAAGGATCTAGTTCACCTTAGAAAAATGAAGGAAATTCTACATAGGCTGTCCCCAAGACACAAACATCCAGCTTACATACAACTTACACTTATGAATGGGGGCTACTACAGTAGGTTTCCTAGTTACAAACATCTGGCCAATGTACAACACTTACAAACAGAGGCTATTACAGGTAATATAGGTAAATGTACCTGTTCCAATTCGTATACAAATCCAGCTTAAGAACCTATTTTATTCATAACCTGGGGACTGCCTGTACAAATAAAACAAATTTTAACATTATCATTCCTTTCGTGAAATATTTTTCCATTTCCTATTATATCATGCACCAACCACTCAGCACTCCATGAAACACAAGGCTTCCACATGTTTCCATGAATAAATACACACTAAATAAGTGGAAGCATTTTTTTCTATTCCCTTCACCAAACCATGAGAGGACAGAAGGCCTCTAGAAATCTACTTTTTGACAAAGTCCAGCTAATCATACTTTCCTGAGGGATTCCAGCCCATAAGAAGCAGTTGGATCCAGTAGGCAGCATGAAAGTATTCTTCTGCAAAAGTATTCATTTTAACTTGCATGTGCAACATTTACCATAAGGTTAGTGTTCCCTTTTATTATCTGTCCCATTTCACTAGACTAGATAACTACTTAGAAGACAGAATTCAGGCATGAGGAAGACAGCATCACAAATTAGACCCTCTGAAAACTTCTATTCTCATGAGCCTTACAGCAGTTTTCCACCCATTTTTGACATACACACACATATACTGTGAAGACAAAATGCTAGAAGAGATCTTTCTGGCAGATCCATAATAATATAACCTGTGGTGCAGCGCCTGTGGCTCAGTGAGTATGGTGCTGGCCCCATATACCAAGGGTGGCGGGTTCAAACCTAGCCTTGGACGAACTGCAACCAAATAATAGCCAGGCATCGTGGCAGGCACCTGTAGTCCCAGCTACTCAGGAGGCTAAGGCAAGAGAATAGCTTAAGCCCAGGAGTTGGAGGTTGCTATGAGCTGTGTGATGCCACGGCACTCTACCAAGGGCAATAAAGTGAGACCCTATTGCTACAAAAAAAATTTAAAAATTTAAAAAATTTTTAAAAATTAAAAAATATATATATATAAAACCTTTAGTGACCTTAAGGAACAGGTAAAGAGCTGCAATTTTTTTAAATTTATTATTATTATTATTTTTGAGACAGAGCCTCAAGCTATCCCCCTGGGTAGAGTGCCATAGCATCACAACTCACAGCAACCTCCAACTCCTGGGCTCAAGCGATTCTCCTGCCTCTGCCTCCCAAGTAGCTAGGACCACAGGCGCCTGCCACAACACCCGGCTATTTTTTGGTTGCAGGTGTCATTGTTGTTTGGCGGGCCGGGACTGGATTTGAACCTGCCACCTTAGGTGTATGTGGCTGGCGCCTTAGGCACTTGAGCCACAGGTACCGAGCCAAGAGTTGCAATTTCTAAGGAATTTAATTCAAATCCATACGGTTTCATGGTGAATTTACCCATGATTATTAAATGATAGAGGGATCAATAGTGCTTTCTTCCACAAGATTATAAAATCCTCTTTCTCCAATTTCAGGAGGAAATGATTCTTGATCAGTCATTACATTGTATTATGTCAATAAAAGTGAAATCCTCCTTTTCCGATTTCAGGAGGAAATGATTCCTGACCAGTCATTACATTGTATAATGTCAGAAAAATGAAATAAGAAAAATGAGGGTTTCCTGGAAAGAACTCAATGTCCTCAAGATATCCTCTTTTTAAAATATTTTTAAAATTCTAAGTATCCCCAAAAGACTGTAAACAAAAAGTATTTCTCAGCTCGGCACCTGTAGCACAGCGGTTACCGTGCCAGGCCAGCCATATACACCGAGGCTGGTGGGGTCAAACCTGGCCTGGACCAGCTAAACAACCGCAACAAAAAATAGCCGGGCATTGTGCCAGCCACCAAATAAGATGTCAAGGAGATTCCAATTCACACTAATTAAAAGGATAATTAGACAAGTGTTAATCACCATTGTGATCAAATAATAGTTATGTAGGAATGGCAGAGGGGTCAACTGATACAATCTAGAGCCTAGCAACCTTTCTCTAATGTCCTGAGAATTTATTGTGAATCTGCACTTAAAGACTGAAACAAAAATGATAGAAACAACACTTTTACAAGAGCAAGAAATAAACTCAAGGGGCCAGGTACAGTAGCTCATGCCTGTAACCCTCACGCCCTGGGAGGCCAAGGCAGGTAGACTGCTTGAGCTTTGGAGTTCAAGACCAGCCTGAACAAGAGCGAGGATACACACACACACATGAAAAACTAGCAGGGAGTTTTTGTTTTGTTTTTTTTTCCAAGTGACTGGAAAGATGGCAGACATTCAGACTGAGAGAACCTACCAAAAGCAGCCTCCCATCTTTTAAAACAAGAAGAGGATCCTGTTGGGAGAAACTGGCAAGGAGAAGCTCCCTTGGTACTATAAGAACATCAGTCTGGGTTTCAAGACTCCCAAAGAGGCCATTGAGGGCACCCACATTGACAAGAAATGCCCCTTCACTGGTAACATCTCCATCCAAGGGCGGATCTTGTCTGGCTTAGTGACCAAGATGAAGGTGCATGCAGATGACCACTGTCATCTGCTGAGACTATCTCCACTACATCTGCAAGTACAATCGTTTTGAGAAGCGCCATAAGAACATGTGTGTGCACCTGTGCCCCTGCTTCAGGGGTGTCCAGATAGGCAATGTTGTCCCGGTGGGCGAATGCTAGTCTCTGAGCAAGAAGGTGTGCTTGAACGTGCTCAAAGTCACCAAGGCTGCTAGCACCAAGAAGCAGTTCCTGAAGTTCTGAGACTGGATATGTGCCCATGCCCCAAAATGAAATAAAGTTATTTTCTCATTCAAAAAAAAAAAAAAAAAAAAAACCTAGCTGGGAAAGGTAGCTCATGCCTGTCATCACAGCTACTCAGGAGGCTAAGGAAGAAGGATGCCATGAGCCCAAGAGTTTGAGGTTGCTATGGGCTTTGCTATGGCCATAGCATTCTGGCCTGGGGCGACAGAGTAAGATTCTGTCTCTAAAAGGAAAGAAAGAAAAAGGGGACTCAGCACCCATAGCTCAGTGAGTAGGGTGCCAACCACATACACAGAAGCTGGTTCAAGACTGGCCCAGGCCTGCTAAACGACAACTGCAACCAAAAAATAACCAGTCATTGTGAAGGGAGCCTGTAGTCCCAGCTACTTGGGAGGCTGAGGCAAGAAAATCGCTTAAGCCCAAGAGTTTGAGGTTGCTGTGAGCTTTGATACCAGGGTATTCTACCAAGGACAACATAGTGAGACTCTGTCTAAA